GCGTGGTACATTGTGTTATAGACAGGGTGGTTGATGTGGTCTGTACATTTGTGTTATAAGGACGGGATGGTTGATGTGATGCTGGTACATTGTGTTATAGGACAGGGTGGTTGCTGTGGTGCTGGTACATTGTGTTATAGGACAGGGTGGTTGCTGTGGTGCTGGTACATTGTGTTATAGGACAGGGTGGTTGCTGTGTGCTGGTACATTGTGTTATAGGACAGGGTGGTTGCTGTGGTGGCTGGTACAGTTGTGTTATAGTACAGGGTGGTTGCTGAGTTGCTGGTACATTGTGTTATAGGACAGGGTGGTAGCTGTGGTGCTTGTAGATTGTGCTACAGGGTGTGGTGGTTCTGGTTGGTTCCGCACTATCAGGCTTCGCCATCTGCCTAAAAAAGGCCCCGTCATTTACTCGACGGGACTGATTTTCTCTAGACGGGCTGATTTTTTAAAAAGTGATTACGTCACCGTAAATAGTAAAAAAAAATCCACTTTTTCACAAAGATTAAGTAATTGCTGTTCACTTTTATAGTAAATTGGCTGGCATTATACTTCCTTATTTACTATATTGTTCGATGTGCACATACACTCGTGACATCAAAAATAAATAACTTTAATATTACTATATTTTTATTAGTAAAACACACGGAATAGCCCGAAGAATGTCACACGAGGCGACTCGTTCTTACATGCGCGTAACCCACAGAAAAGAAATGTGCAGAGAGTCCAACTAGTATATTATTTCTATGACTTAACTGAATATTCCACTGTAATACGTTGACAGCGTACACATTTTGGACGCGTACAGAGGCGTACAGGCCTAGCTAGATACATATACATCAAATGAGAGAGAGAGAGAGAGAGAGAGAGAGTGAGAGTGAGAGAGAGAGAGAGAGATCGGACGTGCGTGCGTGCCTATGGTCGTGATAGGAAACGCGTGCACCTACTGCGCTATATTCGCTTATCTTTAATGTCACCCTATTCAATTTATTGTCATTGTCAATGTATTGGTTTACATTTGCCTTATCGATTGTGGAATGTTACTGTACTAAGTTACCATTAATTCTACTCGCTGTCACTCCATAAAATATACCAGTTGCGTGTACTGCATGTAAATTTTTAAATCGTCAATTTCGAACTAGGTATTTGTGTGTTATTTGTACAAAATAAAATGTATGAAAATACAATTAGTGTTTCTGTTTACTTTTCATGCTTATATACCTTCTTTATATGCTCTAATTTGCCGGTGAAAAACCGAGAGACGCCAGTATCTGAACAGTACTGGGGGAATAGTGTTAGACAACAGAAATTCAAATCGTCTAGATTTTTGCAAATTTAACCAACGTAAAAACATTTTTATCAGGTGAGAGTTTGAGGATATATTTATTAACGTTAGTTCTTACTTTTAATGTAAAAAAATTGCAATTTTTTTTTACACATTTTACCATAGAAAATTCGTGACGTAGTCAATCAGCGGTTCGGTAAAACCCTTTAATTTCCTGCTCAGACTAGTATCCTGTGAAGCCAGAGATTAGTTTGCTGGGATTCAGTGATTTGTCGGTCGGCTGCTATACTATAGTAGCTTGTTGTCGGCGTGCCGGATATTTCTCCCGCATTACCTGGTTGCGTCACGCACAGGATGTTTACCCGCAAAGTTGACGCTCGCCGAAATCTAAGATAAATATCACAGATTAATGGACAGATATCTAATCCGGCGCCTATCCCGGCTCTTTGCATGCGCGCCTTGTCTGTACTATCAGCACAGAGCAAACTTTTCGAGTCAGGCACTCGCATGGCAAGAATTCCCCCCTTTATAAATCGGCATATTATATATCACTGGCATGAGAAGACGGACAGTAGTTGTTCGTATAATGTACAAAACCGTCGTTTAACGAAGAGATCCCGTCTCGTAGGACGCACACGAACACGCGCACGCACACGCGCACACGAACACACGTACGCACACGCGCAAACGAACACGCGTATGCACACGCACACGCGCACACGCGTACGCATGCACGCACACACACGCGTACGCATGCACGCACACACACGCGTGGCAAGCACCTCCTCTGACAAATGAAACGTCCTAAAGAACGCTCTTAAGAATCACTGTAGAAATGCGGCCTAACTACCAAAGAGAAGCATGTACCGTGGTGACATGCGGAATGTCACCTACATCGATATATGACAATTAATGCGTACAGAACCACATTAGCAATGTTTATGCAGTCCTGATCCATACATGGATAGATCAATCGAACCGACCCGTCACATTAGATCGATTCAGACCGTCCCTGTGCATTACACAGGTTCATTCTCAACGACGTTCGGTGTCAGTCTACAGCAGCCTTACGAACAGTAAAGACATTTAAACTCGATAAGAAGATATTCCGACTCAAGACGTGGACATTCCCCCCCCCCCTCCAACACACACACACACCCGCACTCACGCACTCAAGCACGCACGCACGCACGCACGCACTCACCCACTCACGCACGCACGCACGCACGCACGCACGCACGCACACACACACATCGTAACGTGACTACATGTTTCTGTGAGCGGTTATCACCTAAGATTACTCAAGTCCTTATCAAAGTTTACATAAAATTCCTTCTCGTGTAGTTGGCAGCTTTTAACGTAAACAGTTTTCCACAGTATACCGACACCCATATCTCTTTTGCCTAAGCCGACAGCCACGAGCCGAGCTCCTAAGCGACTTACGGGATAAGTCTAGCTCGGTCGATGAAAAAAGTGCTACCGAACCCAAACTCGTGTCCGTAAAAAAGGTGAAACGGGCGCTGCCATTCTATTCGCGACTAGTGCTGGGAATTTTACTCCCGGCGTTTCATGAAACGCTAAAACTACTACGTTTCATGCGTTTAATGCGTTTCATGAATACGCTAAAAGTTAAAAACGCTAAAAGCTTTTAAATTAAATTCGGATTCGGATTTCTCCTCAGATACGAATCGCTATGCCTATAACACGGCGGGAACGAGACTGCATTTTGTGCAGGCACTCACTGATATATAACGATATATATCACTGACTAACTGATATAGACTGACTGATATATGCACGGCAGGACACAACAGAACTTCGTTGTTAGTCAGTTACGCCTGTCGCTCCTGGGTAGAGCATAGGCCACTGATGAACCCATCCTCGCCATCCGACTCGGTGTTGGGCGAGTTGTCTGATGGTGTCCCAGGTGTGTCCCCCGGCTTTGCCTTCGGTGTAACAACGCAAAATAACTTTAACATAAAAATAAAAATATAAAAAAAATAAAAATATAAAAAAATAAAAAAATAATTTAATATTACTATATTTTCATTAGTAAAACACACTGATGTAATAGCTCGAAGAATGTCACACGAGGCGACTCGATCTTACATGCACGTAACCCACAGAAAAGAAATGTGCAGAGAGTCCAACTAGTATATTATTCTATTGACTTAACTGAATATTCCACTGTAACACGTTGACAGCGTACACATTTTGGACGCGTACAGAGTATAGGCCTAGATACATATACATCAAAAGGCCATAATAGAAATTTTCTATTATGGACTCTTGATATACATCAAGAGTACATAATAGAGATCTCTAATTATGTACGCTTGATATGTATTGTATTCAGCAAACGTGGCGACAGACGCGACGCGCCACACCTACGAGCCATCGTCGGCCGATAAGCGACGAAAACCGGTCGCCGATTCAAATGTCGCCGGGCGGTTTTCGGAAACGTATAAATAGGCCACGGACGAAAGATCATAGGGAAGTATTACCTAGAGGAAGAGACGAGAGGCGACGTAGTGGAGTTAGACGAAACAGAGATGACGGGGCCTAGCTTGGGTGCCTAGGTCACCGTAGTGTATATTATATTTGTATTGTGTTTTACTAATAAAGTCAAGTCTTTCAAGAACAAATTCTGCGACTAAACGTCTTTACTCTTTGCCACAATCTGCTACCATTTGCTAAACTCGACGCTGCTACGATCCGGAGCGGAGAACAACCAACTTTACAACTCACGATTCTACGATGCCGCGAAGCGGAAGAAACACAACTTTTACAAAACTCTACGATTCTACGATGCTGGAGCAGAGGATCAACAACTTACAACTCTACGATTCTACGATGCTGGAGGCAGAGAACAACAAAACCTTTACAACTCTACGATTCTACGATCGCCGGAGCAAAGCAACAACAAACTTTACACTCTACGATTCTACGATGCCGGAGCCAAAGGAAACAACAAACTTTACAACTCTACGATTCTACGATGGCGGAGCAGACGAACAAACAACTTTCACAACTCTACGATTCTACGAGCCGCGAGCCAAAGAACAACAACTTTACAACTCTTACGAATTCTACGCAGGCGAGCGGAGATCAACAACTTTACAACTCTACGATTACTACGATGCGAGCAAAAAAAAAAAAAAAAAAATACAAAAAAAAAAAAAAAAAAAAAAAAAAAAAAAAAAATAACAAAAAAAAAAAAAAAAAAAAAAAAAAAAAAAAAAAAAAAAAAAAAAAAAAAAAAAAAAAAAAAAAAAAAAAAAAAAAAAAAAAAAAAAAAAAAAAAAAAAAAAAAAAAAAAAAAAAAAAAAAAAAAAAAAATAAAAAAAAAAAAAAAAAAAAAAAAAAAAAAAAAAAAAAAATAAAAAAAAAAATTAAAAAAAAAAAAAATAAAAAAAAAAAATACGAACAACAACTTTACAACTCTACGATTCTACGATGCCGCAGCAAAGAACAACAAACTTTACACCTCTACGATGCGCGAGCAGAGAACACAAACTTTACAAACTCTACGATTCTACGATGCGGACCAAGACAAACAACTTTTACAAACTCTACGATTCTACGATGCCGGAGCAGAAGAACAACAACTTTACAACTCTACGATTCTATCGATGCCAGAGCGGAGAACAACAACTTACAACTCTACGATTACGATTGGGAGGAGCAGAGAACAACAACTTTACAACTCTACGATCTACGAGGCCAGACGGAGAACAACAACTTTACAAACTCTACGAGTCTACGATTGCTGGAGCGGAGAACAACAACTTTACAACTCTGACGCATTCTACAGGCCGGAGCCAAAGAACAACAACTTTACAACTCTAGATTCTACGATGCCGGAGCAAAGAACAAACAACATTACACTCTACGATGCCGGAGCAGAGAACAACAACTTTACAACTCTTACGATTCTACGATGCCGGAGCAATAGAAACAACAACTTTACAAAACTCTACGATTCTACGCTGCCGGAGCAAAGGAACAACAACTTTACAACTCTACGATTCTACGATGCCGGAGCGGCAGAACAACACTTTACAACTCTACGATTCTACGATGCCAGAGTGGAGAACAACAACTTTACAACTCTACGATTCTACGATGCCAGAGTTTAGAACAACAACTTTTTCCAGTATAATATATGCATACACGTGATTCAGCTTCACAATCAGCTGAGCCTTATAGGCAGCAATTAGCTATTCCAGGTGACCCTGGTAATCTAGCAATGCTCGAGGATCCTGGTTATCCCTGCTACCTGGTTATCTCTGGTTGCCCTGCTACCTGGTTATCCCTGCTACCTGGTTATCCCTGGTTATCCCTGCTACCTGGTTATCCCTTGTTGCCATGCTACCTGGTTATCCCTGCTACCTGGTTATCCCTGGTTGCCCTGCTACCTGATTATCCCTTGTTGCCATGCTACCTGGTTATCCCTGGTTGCCCTGCTACCTGGTTATCCATGTTACCTGGTTGCCCTGCTACCTGGTTATCCATGTTACCTGGTTATCCCTTGTTGCCATGCTACCTGGTTATCCCAGGTTATCCTGCTACCTGGTTATCCCTGCTACATGGTCAGCCTACCAGCAAATAGTATTTTCTTTGTATTAACAGGATCAACGAGGTGTATACGCATACGGTGATTGTTGGGCCAGCAAAATCCTATTTCCTACTGATGCATAGATACATAAACACATTTTTAGACTGCGACGTTATAGTCAACATCTATATATAGCCGATGAGTACACATTTACGAGTGGATAAACACGTGTTTTTTCTAGGCAGCATAGGGGGTTACAGCCAACACGTACACAACAAACCGAGTGGCCTGATTATAACTGACACTCCTGTAGTCCCCAAAATAATAACAGTAAGCCTGGGGGCCTGACACTGCAGAACGCTAGCAAAAACAGCCGAGCAGTTTTTCCTGGTGAACTAAAACACGAGTATACAGTACGCAAGGGATCGCAGGATGCGCGCTAAGTACTGTCACGGCAATATACAGCCTGTTATTTATTCGCCTCAAATATCAACAGCCGTTCAATATTCCGAGGTTCTGTTTGATTTTAAAAGCTATAACTCTCACGCGGCAATTTGCGGCCCACCTGATCAAACATGTGCGCGCATTACTCGCACATCATCGCTGTTTACATACACGTGTTGTAGACACGCGTGCGCTCCCGCTGAGAATGTGAAGCCTGCAGCGCAGACCGAGAGTCACATGTATATGTACAAGTCACAAGAAAGGGTATCATATATATATATATATATATTTATCATATATATATAATATTATATAATATTATATATAGTGAGTATAGGGTAATTTTCTCAATAAGGGCACAAGTTGGTGAATATTTTTCAAGAAAACAAACATGCAAGCAACACGTCTAACTTTTATCACAGGAGGAGCTAAGGCACTTAGGAAGTACAAACAGGAATTGAGAGCAATCGTTATTCGTCCAATTTTTTTTTAATGTGTAGGGATTTAATCTCGCGGTGCTCTAGCCCTTTAATTACCGTAACGACTGTTCGCAAATGAAAGGATTTCCATGATGCATACCATACATAAAAAACAATTTAAAACTGCGACCAGACCTTGATTATTAGAGTATCCAGGTTGGTTTTTGGAGAAATTCATTTTCATTTAATTGTAAGAGTTTATTCTTTTAGAATTTCGACAAAATTGATGTTACGGAGTTGAAAATGTTTTACGGGAGTTGAAATTTTTGTACGGAGTTTGAATTTCTGGAAAAACCCTGAAGTTGCTCATTTACAGGGTCTGCTTGATCGCGATCAAAGTAATAATGAACAAGACTAAAAGAGCAGAGCGGCGTGACTCATAAATTGTAAACCAACAGTTGAAAATATTTAGTAGGGTCATACACAAATTCAACTACGTAAACGAAATCACTCCAAAATCCATTCCCAGTGAAAATGATACTGATAGCAGCAATATATTGTTGTTCAACTTGTGAATCCTATATAAGGAATAAGACCTAAAATGAGAGGGCCTGACTCATATAGTGTAAACAATATAGTTGACATTTTTAAGCACACTATACAACTCCGTAACCAGATAGAGTCTCAACTCGTAAGACAAAGTATTGTTACGGAGTGGAGTGTTTACGGAAGTTGAAATTTTTTTACCAGAACAGAATGACGCTCACGCACTCAGCAGCGCAAGATAGAATTGGAAATATACTGTCAATATTAATGTGAGGGCGCCCTGTGCCCAAGTAGCATGAATAGATCATATTTGAAAATGCTTCATGGTTACCATGATATTAATGGAACGTTTAGGAGTGGAGTTTAGAAGATAATCCACGTGATATATGAAATTAGAGTGAAAATTTCACAGAAACTGTGAGGAAGTGTCAACAACTGGAAGTCAGCATGATCATGATATGGGGGTTACACCAAACTGAACGTTTTTACAATGAGGTACAGTTCTAGGTTCTACTTCCCTTCATAGGGGGCTGACATTTCATTGGTCGGTTACGGAGTGGAGTGGATTTGCCCTGGACACCTGATATTTCTATAATTTTTTAGATAACATAGTTTAATTTTATTTTTTTTTTTGCTTATGGATATGTACTTCCTACCACCTAGTTTAGAATAACATAGTGATAGGAAGTGTTTCAATGTAGAAAACTTGAAAGAAACTGGGACATTAATATGCTGCGACATAGACCGTCGGACATATCATAAAGATTGTTAGCCAAAAAACGTCATTTTTCTGCCGAAAACTCAAAAACCGGTGCAATAAAAGTGCTGAAAGTTATTTCCAATCGGAAATACCCCAATCTACATTTTAATTGATTAATGCTTTACTGGACATCATTAATAAATAAATGCGAGCCTGGACATGAAAATGCAATCAACAGGTGCCTTATTGAGAAAATTACCCATATATATTATATATAATTATATGGACACATAAGTTTTTTCTAAGGAAGACTTTTAAAAAAGGGCTTCAAACTGGCGTTTACTGATCGTGCGCAGTGCTCTATGTATTTAAAACTACTACGCTATTTAAATCTCCCGCGCTCTGTAAACTACCGCGCTCTGTTAGACATATATGATATCAAGAGTAGATAATAACACATTATGTTATTTATCTACTCTTGATGATATATATCCAGCAGCTCGAATTTTATAGAGCCTGGATTACCCACATCCGCATCCGCGTAGACTCATCGCAGCGCATGCAGGCAGGGCACGTGCTCGAGACACGCAACATCAAAACCTAGATCTATCTTCTACACCACGAGTTCGTCTGCTCCCGGCCGCGTACTATTTCTGGACGCGGCAGCGTCTTCGGCATTCACTCACCCCCGCTTTCTCCCCCCCCCTCACTCACCCTTTCTCTCTCTCTCTCTCTCTCTCTCT